AAATACGCCATGGACTCATACGAAGAGTTTGTCGGGAATCCGGATATTGCCAACGCTTAGGACGAATGTTGAAGTTTAATGTTGAACTTGACAATTTATGCAAGGTTATTTGTTGGATTATGTGTTTGATAATGTTTAGGATGTGGGTTTATTTGATAATTTATATGCTTATAATATTATTTACTTTACTATCTATTAATTGGTGTGTCGATTATTGAATTTGCTTATAATTTAGTTTACTTAAATAATTGTGTATCCGTACACCTCATAGCGTTTAGTTGTACACCAATATGCATCAAATGGGAGTACATAAAGACAAATTTGTTTATACTTCACATTATTTTAGTATTTATTAATTGTTGTGTGAATACCTTGTTCCCGGCTAAATATGTACCTGTACACCAATATCCATTTAGGTGTACATCAACTGGATGTACAACAAGGAAATTTATGGTTTATCCACTAATTTTACAAACTCATTTACAATCTTAACAGTAACCGCATTTAATGTATACGGTCATCTAGTGGGCTTTTTTAATTATTATATATATGAAACATAAAGAACTGTTCCGCTTCACAAATCCTAAACCGCAGTTATTCCATCTCCATAAACAACCGTTTTCATCACAATTGAACCTCACAAATTAACTATGGCACCAAAGAGAGGGCGATGTGATGCGGATATCCGTGATTGTCAATCCCTTCTGATGGCGCTTCCCGACGAACTATTGGAGAAGGTTCTCGCATACAGTTGTAACTCCGTCCAACAAATTTTCACACTGAAGCAAGTTTGCAAACGGTTCCAGGCCTGCACTTTAACCAACAATTTTCTAGCATCGGTTGATCCCGTGGAATTGGAGATGCCTATTTCCGAAGATTTCGATATGCCTTTTATCGCGTATTGGGAATTTCCCAACTTGTTTGAGGACGATGTATGACGCACGCAATCCTGGTTTGTTGTTCATGAAGGGGATGCAAGACTACTTCTGCCGTGGAGACAAATGTGGCATAAAACTCATCAGGGAATTTGCAGATATGGGATACGAAACAGGTATTTACATGTATGGCATGTACATGAAAGCAGTAGTCGAAGACCCCGTGGGTTTAGAGTATCTTTCAAAACTAGGCAGGGGGCAATGAGGAGAATAATTCGGAAAATTATTGATGGAGGTGAGCGTGGTTATGTTAATTTGCCAGAAGAGTTCTCGAGGAGGAGATTTGAGACTAATGCTCAGTTTGCCACACTTTGGTCTTGTCGCTGTGGTGTTGCCAATGCTCAACTTGAATGGCATGACGAATTGTTAAAGGGGCCAAGCATGTGCACGTCGTGTTTCTGGGCACAGGAAACGCAAAAGTTCTTCGTATTTGTTTGGTATGCAGCGCGTTCTGGGCCGTCAATGGAAGAATGGTGACTGATTGGTGCAAGTCAACCAGTTTCGGTGTGTACACCTGCGTTGTGTACACCTTGGTGTGTACACCTAAGTTGAGTACACCTCGGCGTTGCTGTTATTTCGTACTTTAAGATTTAAAATTTTATTTAGCCCTATTACGTATGTATGTATGTATGTAGGTGTACTTTGTTTTGCTTTCTATCTATGGATACTTTAATTGTGCTGACTTTATTTAATTTCGGTGGGTGGTAGTGCAAGTTTTTCGAGAACCGTTCTCTTATATCTTTAAAGTCTCAGTTTATCTCTCTGTGTACGCCTAGTAACTACAAAAAAAAGAACACCTCAATCTGGACTCAATATGTACACCTAAATTTGTACACCTGAATGTTATAGTTATCACATATTATATTTTGAGTAAACAAACGGCATTATCTGTTTTCAGAGAATTTTCGGAGAACATGGATATACACACGACATTATTTATTAAAAGCCTTACCTTACCTATTTCTGTACGCATATTTTCAAAAAAAATTCATGATTTCGTCTATGTGGACTCAATCTGTACTATATATCTCGGTTAACGTGATGTTGAGAAAACGTCTGTAATGATGACAAGAAATTTATTTTCCAACAATTATAAAAGGGCTGTCTTGTTAATGAAATTTCGATAATATCATAAATACTAATAGTATTGTCTCAAAAATCATAAATGTATTGTGGTATATCAAAAAGTACATTAAAGCATTCATCAATAAAGTTAATTGGTGAAATTTGCTTTGATTTGGTGATTCTTTGTATTTATTGTGGTAATTTAATTTTTCCGGTAAACGAAAAGACACATTTTCGTCTCTTTTCAGCGTCTCTCTTCAAAAACAGCTATTCGGCTCTATTAAAACCGCACTACCTCTTTAAATTCAATCCCTTCACCGTAACTGCCTACTTAGAACCATCATAACTTCCTCTTTCGTACCATTTTCAATCCTTTCTCCTCTTCCTCATTCAAATTTGTTATCTTTTCTCTTTTCACCGAAATAAACGATGGTTCCAAGGAGAAACAGAGGTGGTGATGCTGATTTTTCCTATCTTCTCTCACTCCCTGATGAATTGCTGGAACAAATTCTGGCCACTACAAACCCAACTATAAGGGAAATAGCCCGCCTCCGTGCTATTTGTTCTCGTTTCAACCGTATCGGCACAAGCAGGGGTTTCTATCGAGCCATTGATCCCGCCGAAATCATGCATGAACAAGCGGCGGTTCCACATTACCCAACGATGATGAGGAGATTCCATGACGCGGGTAATCCAGGGGTTATTTTCGAGAGGGGGATGCAAGCCTACTTTTTCTTCCACGATGGTGAAGGCGTGGAATTGATAAGGGTTGCTGCGGAGGGAGGCTACGACCGAGCCCTTTTTGTGTACGGGATGTGGCTCAGAGCTGTGCCGGAAGACTTCGTCGGTGCAGAGGAGTATTTGGGCAGGCTCACGGTGCAAAACCGGAGGAGGATGAGCTGGTTGTTGCTGGCCGACGTTCCACACGGATGGAATTTCGATTTGCCAGTGGATTTCACTGAGAAAGCGGCTGCCTTTCATCCGAGATTCCTTGCGCTGTACACTTGTCACTGCGGGGTTATCAATTACTGGCTCCAGTGGTTTGCAGAAGACTTTAAGCAGCCAAAGTGCACAACCTGTTTCTGGGCTCAAGAGACCCAAAGGTTCTTCCGCTTCATTAGGAACGTCGTTCCAAGCTGGCCGTTCATGCTCGATTGGTGAAAGCCGTAATCTTAGTATTTTCTTGCATTCGTGTCTCTTTAATTATTTATGTTGTCTAAGTGTTCCAAACTACAACTGATGTTTTTCAAATTGCTTGTCTGCTTTCGGTTTTTAGTTGCAACTCTTACTTTTGTATAAACATAATCTAAGGAGAATTAGTAGTTGATTTTATGATATTTATGGTACTTATGTTCGTAAATGTAGTAATTAATCATTCTTCTCTTAAAATGTTTTGTATCAACATGAAAGTGTCAGGATATCATTTCGTCTAGGGCAGTAATTAATTATGTACACCTCTTCACTGTAATTATTTATGTACACCTAAATTGGTATACGGGATCGTAATCGTACACCAACATTGGTATACGTGATTGTAAACCTTTTTTTGACATAAGGCTGTTAAACATAAGGCTGTTATAAAAACGTAAAACAGATTGAAAATATAATAACATTACACATTTTTAAAGAACGATGAATACTGGAACGTAAACGTACACTAAAATTGGTATACGGGATCGTAATCGTACACCAACATTGGTATACGTGATTGTAAACCCTTTTTTGACATAAGGCTGTTAAACATAAGGCTGTTATAAAAACGTAAAACAGGTTAAAAATATAATAACATTACACATTTTTAAAGAACGATGAACTTTGAAAACACCATTCTCATAGGGTGAACCTTTAGGCCCCGTTATGATAGCTTCCCAGTGATACAAGTCCTCACCCACAGGTCCTAATGAAATCGGCAAACCACTAATTAGGTAGACGATGTAAAAGACCGACCCTGTAAAACTAAAACGTAACTAATGCCCTATTTTCAAATTAACCATCAAATACCTGTGCTGAAACATGAACTGTTTTTCCTCTCCACTTCCTTCAATTGCAATGAGATCACTTTCGCAGAGTACATGTTTAGAAAGTAAGTAACTTTTGCTGTTATTAACTTTTGCTATTATCGGAAACTTGTTTCACTGAAGAAGGCAGGGGACAGTTTTATAGAGGACGACCGGAAAAACATTATAAAGTAAAGAAGGGAAACGAGTCGGTCAAACGGTGCAACAGGTTTCAAAAAAGGTACTTAACTAGTTTTTGTCGTTTCCAATTTAATTTTTTTGAACTCAGACACTGGTTTCATTATTGCGATTTTCAAAATTGTAATGACTTGTTTTTTGAAAAAACCGTTTACTCGTGTTGTCCTGTCCTACAATTTCAATTCAAAGACACGATCATTGTCCGTTTTCTATATAATGTTTTCTTTCTCTGCTATAGAACCATGTCTTTGATAATTATTTTGATCCAGAACCATGTCTTTCATAAAGTTTTCTTTCTCTGCTATAGAACCATGTCTTTGATAATTATTTTGATCCAGATCCATGCCTGTGCTAATTATTTTGATTCCTTAATAAGATAAAGCCTAAAGCCTCATCGTAAACCCTAAGCCCTAAACCCTAAACCCTAAACCCTAACCCATAACGTCCATAACATAAATTTATATGCTAAACCATATAAATGTAAACTTATACATAAGCCATAATGCAAATACACTATATGATGTAAACTAATTGATGTTGTCCACCATCACAGTGTACACGAACATTGTCCACCGTCAAGGGTGTACACGCTAGAAAGAAACCCGAAAAACATAGCAACATGTCCACCGTCTAAACCCTAAACCCTGACCAGTAAACATCATAAATTTCATAACAAATTAAACATAGTTCATGCCTTTCCAAGTTTAAATATAGGGAAACATAGTGTACGCTACAAACAAACCCAAAAAACAAAGCAACATCCCCACAAAAAAAACATCAAGACACACACAAAAGCCACACCCGGTCAACCCAATGGTTCCTTGCATTTTGCCCGGTTATGGCCGGCATTTCCACATCTAGAGCATTTGTTTGGCTTCTTTTTTTTCGCAACCTGCAACAGCGTATATCAGTAATCATTAATCAGTAATCAGTATCACTGGGAAAAAAATATATGTTTAGTGTACACTAACCTGAGGATACTCTCCTGCTGAAAGTTTTCTCTTCGCCGTAGGCCTTCCTGATGGACGTTTTGCCTTAGGTGGCATAATATTAAGGTCACGCACCTCTGCTGGGATACGAATGTCGTCAGGGTCGGGCACTGGTAGGATTTTGCCACAAACTGTTGCACTCCAAATTGATTTCTTAAGAATTGGATCAACCAAACTGCTGTACTCCACTTGGCGAAGCCTAGCCGCGGCCATTGCATGTCGGCAAGGGTATTTCAATGTCTGAAACTCTAGACATGAGCATGTTTTGTTTAGGAGATCAACAAGCCTCCGTACACCGAACTCAGAACTCACTTCAACCTCCCACAAAGAAATGCCTTGAACCGAAAGTGCAGCAGATTTTTGCTGCTGCAGGTTCATTAACTTGTCAACCTCTTCTGTAATGTCACCATCCATCTTTTGAATGGTCTCTCTTCTGCATTCAAGCCACCTACTTAACATTCGCCTGATAAATTCTAGCATTGCAACGATTGGACTGTCTCTTGGAGCTAATAGTGCATTGTTCAGAGACTCTGCAATGTTACTAGAGGTCATATTATACCTCTGACCAGAAAAGTGTGATCTAGTCCACAGCGCAAGAAGGATTTTTTCCATGTACTCCCAACAACCATAATCAACATCCTTCAGCCTTGCGTATAGTTTCTTGAAATTAGAAACTGTGAACGCTTCTCCAGCCTTTCCGACCAACCCTTTCTGACCGGAACCTTTGTATTTAGCGTGAACATTTCTCTGGATATGGACAAGACATGCACCGTGGTGTGACTGTGGATACCATTTCTTTTTAGCTTTGGCAATTCCACCGTGCCTATCCGAGATAATAGTAAGATCAGAGGAATCTGGAATTATTTCTAACAACTTCTCAAAGAACCACCTCCACGTCTTGTCAGACTCTGCATCAACAACGGCGAACGCTATTGGAAATACCTGGTAATTAGCATCTTGTCCACTGGCCGTTAATAGACAACCCTTATACTTACCAGTGAGGTGAGTCCCATCAACAACAACTACTTGTTTCAAATGTTTCCATCCAGATATACACGCAGCCAATGCCATAAATACAGACTTAAACCTGGTAATACATTTTCCTTCTTTTTCATCTCTCTCGCTCTCGGTTATCAAATGCGTTATGGTGCCGGGGTTAGCATACTTGAGCACATGGAGGTATATCGGTAATAATTTGAAAGAAGTCTCCTCTGTTCCGTGAGCAGAGTATATAGCCAGCTCCTTAGCTTTCCAGCATTTTTCAGTACGAGACTGTAATATTATATTCGGAGAGAACAATCGCAGGTAGCTGACTCGCACGTGGCCCAACTATTGCATTCTCATACTTAGACTTCAGCAGAGCTGCCATGACTTTAGAAGTAGCATGTTTTGAAAATTTCTTTCTTGTATCCGGGTGGCATGTATGCTTCAAACACGCCTTCCTCACCTCATACAACGCCGACTCGCCAACTTGACACCCCAACACTCTCCAAACACATATCTTTGATGGACATTCGGCGACTGTCTACTTCTTCGCATGCTTTTTGAATTCGAACGTTACTATATTCTTTAGCGCATTGATGGCCAACGTGATTTTAAAGTGTTCCTTGTTCCTGAACTTTTTCCCAACCCATATCTCTCCATCTTCATTTGACAAATCAAGTTCATGGAAATCCCCTCCCATTTCATCAGAGACTGGTGCCACATCCGGAAATCCATATAGTTCTGTACGTTTAATCGCTTTCTTCAGCTCTGCACCGCCATTCAGACGCCCCCAACTGACATCACCTGTCGGAGTCTGCACAAAATCATCATCATCTCCATGGGGAGCCAGAACATTCTCACATACAGTCCTCTTTCTTCCAGGAAAATGAATAGGACTCTCCGTTAAGACAATGGAGTTGTCCATATGGTTTGAATCACTGGGCTCACTTCCGCGAGTGCTTCCACAACCGCCTGAACTGCCAGAGTCATCCTTATCCTCATCAAATCCAGGTTTAGAATGGAAACCCTTTCCATCTGCTAGTACGTAATCATTCTACCAGTCAAAATCATAATCCGGATCATAATCATCATCAGAGCCGTGTGCGTCATCGTCAACATCATCAGCTTCCTTCTCTTCCGAATCTCTCGCCTCGTCTGATTCCTGGGACATTTTTAATTCCAACTCAGGGTGGTCATCAGAGACAGCGTGACTTGGAACATCCGGTTTTACATTAACGGAGGTGTTAGTGCTGGCCTTAGCCTCTACTTTCTCTGATTCCTGGGACATTTTTAATCCAAATGGAGGATGAATAACAGAGACAGCTTCAAGTTGTACACCTTTGGAGGTGTTCATTGCGGCCTCTGCCTCTATTTTCTCGGCATATGCTATCAGCAAACAATCATCGATATCTTCATCATCTGCTTCATCATCGGGTTGACTAGACTCTGCCGAATAAGAGGCTATGAAGTTTGTTGGCCCTAAGGACTTTCGCCATTCCCTCGCAATTTGAACTTCAAGACTTTCCTTCCGTTTCAATCTCACCATTTTACCATTTACTGACTCCTTGAATGTGACAAATAAATTCACAGACTTGTCAGACTTATGCAGCGAAAGGAAGAATTTGTACTCTCGAGGAGTAACTATTACACATGGACAACTCCCATCACCATTAAGCTCAGCTAGAACATCATCAAACCAGTAGGAAATCTCCACCGAAACAACTCTCGTGTCTAATCCGAACTCATGCGCAATCAGATTTCTCAAATCATCTGGTCCGGACACATCTTTGCAATTTATGCACCTACCACGACGAGATATGTCCATTTTGAAATCCCATTCTCCTGTATAGTACCTTATCCACGTTACCGCAATAACAAGAATGAACGCATCCACTGCAATTCGCGAACACCATATCTATAAAACTACTGGCAAATGGCGAACACCAGATCGAAAAAAAAATCGAAAATAACAATGACAAATCTATGGGTGTACAATAATAGGATTAAGTAACTAACCGTGGTTGTTGTCCTCTAGATCATCGCATAATTTCTCCTTCAATTTCAACATCTTCTGGAAAGGGAAACTAGGGTTTCTAATTTGGTTAGGGTACTTTGTTTCTTATTTTAACCAATTTATCTCCATTATCCCTAATTAACCACAATTTTTGCCGCCAAAATTAAAAAGGGAATGGGAATGGTAGTTTTTCGTGTAATTACTTGGGTAGTTTCCGGCCCATAACCGAGGCCTAGTTAGGTGGTTTTTGGGAATTTCATTCCTAAATACGAAATCAGGCCCAAAAAACGACTCAAACACGCGCGTGAGTTTCCCGGCTAGGACCCACGGTATTTTCTGCCTCTGTCTCTCTCTGAGGAACAAACTGCTCTCTCTCTCTCTCTCTCTCAGAAAGAAAGGTAAGTTTGTCATTATGAAAATATGTCCCTACCCCGACTAATTAAAACTTAAAACTTCCCTTTCCTCAAATTAAAACTTAAAAACGTTCTTATTTTTAAAACAACTTTTTTTTAAGTATATTAAAAGATGTAATTATTATGAAAATTTTAGTATAATAACTGAAATTATTTTTTATAAATAAAATAAATAAATTAATATTAATAAATAAATTGATGATGTATCACAAATATGAATATAATAAAAAATGTTGCGACAATTTAAGAAGAGAAGATATTCAACTTTATATACTATATTATTTACTTTGTTTATTTCTATATATTCATATAGCATTTTAATAATATATTTTTTTCTAAATATTTTTTTATATATCTTTACTTTGTTAAGATCTGTAATCTTGAAGATCTCATACCTATTGGGTGTACAACACATGTTAGTTACACATGCATGTGATCACATTCAAACATTAAGAAAATTTGAAAAGGTAAAACAAAGCACATGTGATCCTTGGGGGAATCTTATAAAGTGTTTCCAAGCTTAAAGTAATTTACGGACACCACTATTATTGCTACATACAAATGGTTAGGTCGAAATCCGACAACTTTTTTTCTTTTTGACACGTGAACTATGTAAACCAAAAAATACTCTCGGAAAACAAAATTACTATAATGCGAAAGCGGCAAATGAAATAATCGAATTTAAAAGAGTGTTCCTTTTCTGAGTCTCACCGCACAACACAACACCATGAATTCCTGCTCCTTCACTATCTTCATCTTTCCTGCCATTATCTTTCTCCTTTGTTTGAGTTCGACAAGAGCAGCCACTTGTCATCCTGATGATGAAGCGGGTCTTTTAGCTTTCAAATCGGGTATAACCCGAGATCCTTTGGGCCTTCTCAGCTCTTGGAAGAAAGGAACTAACTGCTGCTCTTGGTTTGGTGTAACTTGCATCACTGGCGACCGTGTCACCGGACTGTTGGTATCGGGAGGAGATACCTCTCTTGGCCGAGGCTATCTATGGGGAAATATCTCACCGTCGCTTGCCAAACTTAAACACCTCGAGGACGTTTCATTCACATATCTTAGGATCAGTGGATCTTTTCCCCAATTCCTTTTCCACTTACCAAAGCTAAACGCAATTTATATCTCCAACACTAGTCTATCTGGTCCCCTTCCTGCCAACATCGGTGCACTAAGAAACGTTACAAATCTCACTCTTGATAATAATCTGTTCACCGGTCCGATCCCGAGTTCAATATCCAATCTGACTCGCTTAACTTGGCTCAGTTTAGCCGGTAACCACTTCTTTGGCACCGTCCCAAATATTTTCAAATCCATGACAAAGCTCACAGGTCTCGATCTCTCCCGTAATGGATTCTCCGGGAGCCTTCCTACGTCCATTGCATCGCTTGCACAGACTCTCACGTTCCTTTATCTGAGCCAGAACAATCTCTCAGGGATGATCCCTAGCTATATATCGAGATTCAAGTCGCTCTCCACATTGGATCTCTCCATGAATCGGTTCTCTGGAGTCGTGCCAATGAGTTTCGCCAACATGACCAGTTTTTACCATTTCAGAATATCCCACAATGATCTCACCGGTCCATTCCCTGCCCTGAAGTTCGTTGATGGCATCGGCTCTCTTGATCTGTCATACAACAAGTTTCAGCTGAAAACGATTCCTAAGTGGATTTCCTCGCCTGAAATATATAGTTTGAAGCTGGTTAAATGTGGGATCAAGATGAGCCTAGACGATTGGAGGCCAAAGAGAATCAAATCCCTTTATTACATCATTCTATCTGAGAACGAGATCTCAGGGAGTCCAGCATGGTTCTTAAACCAGGCAGAGGATCTGCTAGAGTTCATTGCGTCGGGGAACAAACTACGCTTCGATTTGGGGAAGCTAAACTTCACCAAGTCGCTGAGAGTCTTGGATCTGTCAAGGAACTTGGTATTCGGGAAGGTGTCGGCGAAGGTGGCTGGAGTGAAAAAACTAAACTTGAGTCGAAACCATCTTTGTGGAAAGCTTCCGGTGACAAAGTTACCGGCCAGTGTGTTCGCCAACAACGACTGTCTGTGCGGCTCTCCACTTCCTCCTTGTAAAACTTAGCGGCAAGGAAACTATGAATTTGGTTTGGATTTGTAGGTCCAAATTAGATTTCTATTAATAAAAACAAGTTAATCAATCGAGCTTACAAAATTGATATCACAAGATCTGGATTGGGATCTACCAATGTATGTTAGACAGTGTGCTTTAGCATTCAAAACATGAAGAATTTAAGACAGGGAGAAATAACTAAACCAAACCTTCAGCCCCCAAAGATCCATCACAGTTGTCACTCGCTCCAGTAACAAACATGCATACTTTTGTCTTATTTGTTAAGGTATTACAGTAAACAATTTGTTAATTAATTAATATGTAGCTATCTATAGCATTTTTTTCTTAATGTAGTCTATATTCTTCTTTCAACAACTTTAGAAGTTATGCTTAATCACCGGATCTTTGATTTGAGTTCAAATTTTTATAATTGATAGGTGAGTTTAAATTGTTTGAACATTTTAAGCTCGATCATTTCAGTTACTATATTCCGCAGTTTTTGACTCGTAACTATTATTCTGTTAACCATTGCAACTGTTGGAGTTATGTTTATTCTAAACTATTACAACTAGTTCATCATTATATTTGGCACACAAATTCTAAATTTCCAAAATGTACTATTAATATCACACAAATAAAAATTTGTTAAACCAATATATAATATGTCCAATGTTATATGATGTTATAAATTCAAGACAATTTTATGTAAAAATATTAATTTAAAATATATCAAAACTATTTCTAATAGTTTGAAATCTGAATTTTTCCCAAATGTTTTACAAATTATGAAATTTTTGAATTTTTTTCCTACATTTTGCACTAGAATTTTATTCTCGTTGTTAGGAGATTTTGACAGTTCATATCATGATAAAATTAATCATGTTTGTTATAATTGTTGTTTAACTTCTTTTCAATGTCAATTGTATAGTTGTCTTTTATGTGGATGTAAACTATGAACTCAAATAGAAATATGTGTAAATTTGTTTTATATCACTTTATTAATTTTTGTATTTTTATACTTTTGAAAGTTATATCTATTTATTTTTATATTAGTATATATTTTTCTAAACAAAATAATACTCATGTGTAAGTATCATCACTTTTTATTATATATATATATATATATATATTCACTTAAAAATATTTAAAAGTCTGATATGATTGGCGTTGATAGCTGTAAAGCATTTTACAGTCCTCACAGTTTATTTTCTTCCAATCATGTTTTTAGGATTTTATAATTTTAACAATCTTAAAAGTCATTTTTTAAGAGCCCTTTGTTTTTTTTAAAGCTACTTATCGAGGTTTTTAAAAGTCATTCTCTCTCTTTCGTCAATTTCTCCTTTTTGTTTGTATTTTCATTTTATCTTTTTTAATTAATTTAAATAAAATGTAAAACAGAAATTTTATTTGAATGGTAAAGATGAAAATACTTAAATTTACGAAAACATTAATCATGCTGATCATTACATGATGAGAAACAAAAAAAACATTGTTCTATTCAAACGTGCATGATTTCTTAAAAAAGATAATTTTAGAAATTTCAAATATTCTGTATAATTTTTTGAAATATTTTCATTATTTTAGTAATTAGAGTAAGAGATAAATATGATACTTATTAATATTCTCATTAATAAATAGATTATTAAATTTTACTATTAACAAAATAACTTTAACCTTAACATGTAAAATAGTATTTATTTGAGTTTCATTAATATATCATCAATTGTATTTAAGTTTAGAAGAATGAATAATGATGAGGTGTATCAAGCACACGAAGAGGTTGCCTTTCTCTTCTATCACCCATAATTATCGGTATGATCTCCATAAAACCTTTCAATAGTAGGAGCTCCCTAAGTGTCTATAGAAAAGTAACATAAAAAAAAAGCATCCAAATCAAGGATAGATATGATAACTTAGTATCCACGTATAAAACTAATATTTTACATCGCAAAACTAGACTTATTTTTATTTTTAACACTTATAAAATAAGTAGCACAAAAAAATAAAGCTATAATGCTACATGTTGCATAACAATATTGATAAGAGATCAAAGGCTCACATATCTGGTATGAGACATTATGCTGAAGAAAGCTATATTTGCTTGTTTCTTGAGTTCAAGCTCCTTGCCAATGAAAGGTCCTCTGGTTCAACAACTTGTAACAATCATGGAAACAATAGCTCTTGTGAATAAATAAAAACCATAAAAACATTAGCAAAAAGTAAAGCACTTGTTTCAGCACATTTATACTATTAGTTCCACATAATCTTTAACTTTTTTTTAAACTTTTAAGCTTTCAAGGCAAGAATTGCTATATTTACAAAAGTTACACTTGAAGTTGTGTTTCGTGAAGTTAGGAGTTCGTTCACATTTCCACATCTCCATGCTTATCCTATATTCTCTTATGGTAAGCTCTCGATCATACTGCATCGATCAACTGAGGCATAAGCCTAGCACAATAAGTGTCGGAACTGGTCTCTAATTATACCTGTAATGCGCAATTAATTAGCCGCGAGATTGTCACTAGTAATATTATTGAAAGAACTAGATGAATTAGATGAAGGAAAAATATAGTGCACAAATAATGTACAAATGACAATTAACTAGTAAATTCATGGAATTTTATAGTAAATTATGTTATTCTTACTTTCAATGTATTCACATTTTTCAATTAAAATTATTTTTATATTAAAATATAATAATTGTTTGCATCAAACAAAGTATGTCTTGATCCATGCAAATGCAAAGCTTTGAGTTATAGCGTAGAAATTGAAGAACATGAAAGATGGGATGGTTTTGCAATATCATTTTATTTTAATATTTATTTACATGGGTTAAGTGTGATGAAACTCTATGGAATGAGTGATGATATATGTGTTTGGAATTTTTGATGATGTGTTTGGAATTTGTGAGGGTGTATTGACCATTGTCATGCTACTACTAATTAAGGATCCTAAGGAGGAATTTTTTTTTTGCTGCATTGATTCGTTATTTTGTCTTTTTAAATTTTCTGAACCAGTGAATGAAGTACCTTAGATCCAAATTCCAGATACGTGGAATTGACTTCTATCGGTGGCTAGGGGATCCTTTGTTTATGTTTTTTTATAAGAGAACCGCTGCCATAAATTTGAATTCATCAATCGAGACAACAATGACCAGCTTGTTGTCAAATAATATTTATGAAATAATTAAAAGAAAGAAACAATATAGTGCACAAAAGACTTACAAATGAGAATTTACTAGTAAGTTCATGGAATTTTGTAGTAGACTATGTTATTCTTACTTTTAATGTAGTCACATTTGTCATTTGAAAGACATTTTTATGTTGAAATATAATGTTTGTTAGCATCAAGCAAAGTAAGTCAAATTATAGTTCTCTTAAAAGTGAAATTTTGATTTAAAGAGACAAACGAAGAAATCAAAGTACATGAGTGATATGGTAAATATAAAATAATAGGTGAATAGGTATTTATAAGCTAAGTATGTAACATAAGGGTTTGTGGTACAATCCTTTGGTCTCAATCCACATATGACAGCCCGATGATAATGCATGCGATAGATGATTTTGTTGCAAACATGTCCCTTCAAAACCTATAAAACATGCAATAGATGATTTTGTTGCAAATATGTCCCTTCAAAACCTATAAAACATACATTTAGTTTGTGTTGAACCCTCCCATATATGATTTGCAAGTCTTATTACTGAAAGACCAAGTTGAGTCTGTATTTATTAATCTGGGTAAGAAAAACCTAATCAAAGTTAGTATGGAAAATCAGAAGAATCATTTGGTCATACGTTTCTGTTGGATTATGATATTTTGTCTTCAACTTTTGTTTTTTGCCGATTGTGGCAAACTTTTCAGAAATTTATATTTCTAGAATGAAGAACAAAGTGATAAACAATAGATAGCGGTGACATGATCAGGATTTCAGATATTGATAAGGGATATATATTCCAGTACCAAAAAAATGATTTGACAATGTTCACTTAAACATATCCTCCTTTTGCTTCAAATGTGTCAAAGTAAGGGCTTGGATAACACATCTTTCGTGTAATTTCGTTGGTTTCTCTTGCAAGATTGGAAACCATCTATTGTGAGATATTCACACAGTGGACTTCTAAGTATATGAATGATATACATGTATATTGTAATGTTATTTTGTATGATGTTGCCCATTTTCGTTCTAATCTTGAGATTTAGAAATCGTGCAAGTTTGTTAGACAGTCAACCAAGTATGTCAAATAACGGTAAAGAGTATGTCAAATCGTGCAAGTTTGTTAGACACACAATCAAATACATTGTTATTTATTCACGAGTATTCATTTGTTAGATTTTACAAATTAATTTTGTTAACAAAAAAATCGTACAATTTGTTGTCTCTTTTTTTCTTCTTCTTTTGGTTGGTAATTAATGTTTAGTTATTGCATTATGGAAATAGGTTAAGTCCATCTATTGAATTAATCAATGCAGTAACTAAAGTAGACCAAACAAGAAACCAGATTCATGTCATAATGTTGAACTTCATACATACGACATTACAAGAAATCAATGCATGGTAGACAAGAAAAAAGATTCATGTCAAAATGGTATATCATATAAAAATATAATAGTAGATATCACACTCCAATGGTTGCGTAAAACAAAAACAAAAACAAAAACAAAAAGAGGGAAAAAAAAAGATCACACTCCTAGAAAAACCCTAATTGTAACTAGACCAAAAACCTCCAAAATCGCATGAAAATTAAATCACTTTGCGAATAGATATATCAATCAATAACAGACATAAGAAACTTGTCAGTGACAGGGAGATAGAAAAGAGCTACTCTGTGCCATATCACGAGGAGGCAGAACAAGGGCAAAGCAGATGACATTATGGCACCTGAAAGACCAAAAACTGATGTCGTCGTCCTTTTTCAATCTGTTGCCCTTAACGATATCGTTCGACCCGCAAGTCAAAGCGTAATTCAAGGTTCCTCCTCCTGAATTTTTCTTCATATCCCATCTCGTCAGCATCAAACCCACCTTAACATTCCGCTGATCCACTAGAATCGCTCCAATTCCCTTCTTCTTGACTACTTTCTTGCCATCTTCGTTCATGTCATCTTCTTGCGCTATGGTTTAAAACTCCACAGGCCTCAAGAAGTCGTTACGGATAAGGCTTTTGAAAGGCATTAAGAGACGGCTCTGGTCAGGTCTAATATTTGTTTTCGTCAGTTTCTTCTCGAATATGAGCCTCGGGCCTTCGGTTTCGTATCCTTTGGGCCCTTTCATGTGATTCATCATCTCTGTTAGGCACTCCGGAGCATCAACAATGGTAGTACCCCATTATGGGTACTTAGCAATAAAAAATTGTTAAACTTAAATTAAGTATCTCTATTAAAAAGAATATGTTTTTGATGCCTCCAATGCAAGAATTCTTAATGGAGTACTTAACTTTAAAAAAAAAAATATAATTTAAGAAATTTATGACAAATTTATTTATTTAAATAGAATATAAAATATTACAAACATATAGTTGAAAAATAAAATTAAAACATAGATTTTGATACATTTTAAACATATAAACGATCAATTATCATCTTCCTCATCTCCAAATTTCTGCCAAATGTGTTCAACCAAATCAGCTTGCAATTGTTTATGTACTTGTGTATCTCGAACTTTCTTTCGAGCAATCAACATATCAGCAATATTTGAATGCATATCTGTTGAATAGTCATGATCGACCTGTGAACTACCGTGGCCCTCTCCGTGTTGAAAATCTGAAAGATCATATTGAGTTAATCCTTCTCGTTCGTCTTCTACTATCATATTGTGGAGAATGATACATGCTCTCATAATCTTTCCGATTTTGTCTTTATCCCAAAAAAGAGCCGGGTTTTTTACAATTGCAAACCGAGCTTGCAAGACTCCGAAAGCACGTTCGACATCTTTTCGGGTACCTTCTTGACGTTTAGCAAATAAAGTCGCTTTTGATCCCTGTGGAAGTGGTATAGATTTGATAAACGTAGCCCAATTTGGATAGATACCATCCGTGAGATAGTAAGCTAAGTGATAATCCCTTCCGTTGACAGAATAATGCACTTGCGGAGCTTTACCTTTTATGATATCATCAAACACGGGTGAACGATCAAGAATATTAATATCATTTAAGGTACCTGGGGAACCAAAAAATGCGTGCCATATCCAAAGATCATATGAAGCTACCGCTTCCAAAACGATTGTGGGTTTTTCAGCACCACGTGTAAATTGTCCTTTCCAAGCGGTGGGACAATTCTTCCACTCCCAATGCATACAATCGATGCTTCCTATCATTCCGGGAAAACCGCGATCCTCTCCAACATAAAGTAATCTTTGAAGATCTTCAGGTGTGGGTCTTCGTAGGTATTCATCACCAAACAAATGTATTATTCCTTCAACAAAATGTTCCAAACAGGAGCGAGCCGTAGATTCACCAAGCCGAAGGTATTCGTCTACTGCATCAGCTCCAGTTCCATAAGCCAAAAGACGAATTGCTGCGGTGCATTTTTGAAGTCCCGAGAGACCAGGCCTTCCAATAGCATCTTTTTTTTGTCGGAAGAATCAAATTTCGTTGGAAAATCGGTCAACAATTTTCATGAATAATGGCTTATTCATTCGAAAACGGCGTCGGAATATATTAGTTGGATATGTTGCAGCTTCACTGAAGTAATCATTCCATAACCGTGTATGACCTGCCTCCCGATCTCTTTCAATATAAGCCCGTTTTTTTTTTGACGGCCTTGCGTCCAGGTTTTGTTGGTAATGAAGCATCAAATTACCAAAAGCCTGATCAACGTATTGATCATAGTAATCATCAACTTGTTGATCAATTGTGCGATGACTTGATTCATCGAAAGGGTTATTGTGATTATTTGAAGAAGAAGCCATTTTTTGTGTTTTGTGTTTTGTTTGCTTTTGGTTAGGAAACTGAAAACAAGAACCAAAAAAGAAATAAGCCGAAAGCAAACTATACCAACCAAAGTTGAAAGAAATGATATAGAAGCTAAAGAAAGAAGGAATGAGAAGTAGTGTGATGCAAAAGATATAGGAAGTGTCTCTATATATATAACAAGTCCCATACAATGTTTGTGGACTCAAATTGGGATTACAAATACACGGTTCTTTGTTGTACAAAGGAAACAAACAAAAACTAGTGTCGACATACACCACAATAAGTTTCATTATTTGTGGACTGAAATTACACTTAGTAAATATACAAAAATTTATTGTATCAACAACCACCACACCTCTATCTTTAGTGTCGACATCCACCACTCATACCTGATACAGAAAGAGACAAACACAATCAGCATCAAATATCAAAAACTTTAAAAACAGAAAAGTGAATACACTTTCTATCACCGAGTAAACCAAAACTTTGTATCACCAAGTAACCAAAAACTTTTAAATAACCGAGTAACCAAAACCATTTAATAATCGAGTTTATCCAAAGACTAAACAAGCTTAAAGCGATTCATTTCAAAGATCAAACATACATGTTTATAACATTAAAAACAGAAAACATAATCTAGAAACAAATAAACATAAAACTAGAAACAACAATACATGAACTACAAACAAACATTAACCTTAACCTAACATCTCTAAAGAGAGTCTTTTCTTAAGCTCTTTTTCATAATCTTCCAAGGGCTCTTTCATACTCTTTGCGACGAGGCTGTCTAGCAGTTGCATCCTCTGAATCCTCTCTTTCAGTGCCATGTCTTTTTCATGAAGCTTGCACATACTTTGGAATTCTGATAAAGCCTTGCCATCATCCACCTTCTTCTTTCCTTTATTTTTGGCAGCTTTCACACCTGGTGGCCTGTTGCCTCCTTGATCGCCTTCCACATTGTTGTTTTCATCTGCAGCAGGAACTGGTGCTTATAGCCCGTCCTCGCGTCTCCTCCTTTTAACACTTCCTCCAACTTTATTCGCAGAAACTTCACACCACTTTTGGTCGTTACGTAGTTCCTTCCACGCATGCTCCAAGGTGAATTTCTTTTTGTAATCATTAAAGAAAATTTGATGTGCAAGTTTCAGCACATCATTCTCATTCATTCCTGAGGCTCTCTCCCTTGTTGCAGCCTCATAAGAACCGCAGAACTTGCACACCAAATCATTTATTTTTTGCCATCTTGCCTTACATGTGACTGGTTCTCTTCTTTCTTTGCCTGCAGCCTTCGGACTAGAAGCAATGTATTCTGCTATCCTCCACCAAAAGGTACCAGACTTCTGCTCATTACCCACCACCGGGTCTTTTGACGTGTTCAGCCACCCAGAAATGAGTATCACATCATCGGTTGGAGTCCAGGCCTTCCTATCTTTGCGATCTGCAGGGCTGTCGTCATTGTAGGTGGAGGCTTCGGTGCATTGGCTGCTGAACAGAGGGATTTGGCTTTGAGAAGAAAATGGATCATGAAGAGGAAGTTCTTGTTGACTATTGAGAAGATCAACAAAGTTAGATGAGTGAGTGAATGGATGTGAAGAAGAATAATCCATTGTGATCGAAAAAGAAGATCAGAGGAAGAAGAAAACAGAGGATGAGAGGATGAAGCGTTGGAGTTTAACAAAGTAGAAAAGAATAGAAGAAGTAAATACAAGATAGGAAGGTTTTTAAACAAAAGATGAGGCGTTGGGGTTTTACAAAGCTTTTACTGTTATTAAAAACAACTGAGTAGACAGTTATCTAACAAGATAACTCACAAATAGAAGCTTTATCTAAAGCTTTAGGAAAAGCTTTAACTTCTAAAAAAGCACCATCAATGAACTAAAGCTGTAGCAAATCCATAAAAAAGCACCATCAATTAACTTCAAACCAACTATTAAAACTATGGACAAGACAGATTTCTACCGATAATTATGTCAAGACAATTAAACTTCAAACCAAACACAATCCCTGAATTATTGTAATCTCCATAAATGAATCTTCATTAATCTTCTAACTACCAAACCTAAACACCTACGAGAGAAAACCAAATATTCTAACTACACTGATGCATTTTACACTTTGGAACCGATGTGAAAACATACCTCATAGTTGACACCCTAAATGGAAAGCTTCAACCCTTTGAAGTTACTCAAATCTGAGACTTTGGGCTCCCTTGACACCTCACACCAAGCTCAGAATTTGCAAACAACAACAAACTCAATTAGCAACAATTTACATGATTGACCACCACAACACAAGAAGTGATATCAACCAAACAAATGAACATTCAAGCAAACTAATGAACACATAAAGACACATCATTACCAATTCACATTCAAGCAAACTAATGAACACACATAAACACAATTCATTACCAATTCACATTCAAGCAAACTAATGAACACATTAATACACTTCATTACTATCTTCTGAATCTATCAACCGATATGAATAGAAAACAACTTAGAAGAAACAAAAGAGATAAAAAAATTCGAAACATACATATACAAATTTGAACCATACATAAACAAATCCGATTTTACACTTGATCTCTAACCGATACAAATCAGAACACAAATACCCGATACACAAATATACAAATCCGATAACAACACTTGATCTCTAAAAAAAAAACACATCCAAGGCTAATCGAATAAAAAAACACTAACAAGCGGGATTCACAACGCATGTAGAGTGATTTTGATGAGAAGAACCGATTCAATCAAAAAATAATAATATGAAACCGATGAGAATAAACCTCGGATAATAGCTCAGTTGCCACAAGAGTTCGGTTGACCGGAAAGAGAGCTGACATCGGAAGCAAAAACGATGGATTGAAGCAGAGGAGAGGATTATCGGTGGAGTTTTTGTGGGAGAAGAAGAATATCGAAAACAAGATAAACTTTTTCTTTTTGGTGGTTTTTCTCTTTTTCTCTGTCCAATAAACATGGGACACGTACACACTAAGTATCGCTTCTTCTGGGCCTTAAATAAGTATCGATACTAGGCTTATAATTTCTTTTTAATTTATTTTTGGGTCTAAGTAACCCAATAAAGTGTGCTAAGCATCAGCGTTGATGATGCTCTGAGATATTCACACAGTGGACTTCTAAGTATATGAATGATATACATGTATATTGTAATGTTATTTTGTATGATGTTGCCCATTTTCGTTCTAATCTTGAGATTTAGAAATCGTGCAAGTTTGTTAGACAGTCAACCAAGTATGTCAAATAACGGTAAAGAGTATGTCAAATCGTGCAAGTTTGTTAGACACACAATCAAATACATTGTTATTTATTCACGAGTATTCATTTGTTAGATTTTACAAATTAATTTTGTTAACAAAAAAATCGTACAATTTGTTGTCTCTTTTTTTCTTCTTCTTTTGGTTGGTAATTAATGTTTAGTTATTGCATTATGGAAATAGGTTAAGTCCATCTATTGAATTAATCAATGCAGTAACTAAAGTAGACCAAACAAGAAACCAGATTCATGTCATAATGTTGAACTTCATACATACGACATTACAAGAAATCAATGCATGGTAGACAAGAAAAAAGATTCATGTCAAAATGGTATATCATATAAAAATATAATAGTAGATATCACACTCCAATGGTTGCGTAAAACAAAAACAAAAACAAAAACAAAAAGAGGGAAAAAAAAAGATCACACTCCTAGAAAAACCCTAATTGTAACTAGACCAAAAACCTCCAAAATCGCATGAAAATTAAATCACTTTGCGAATAGATATATCAATCAATAACAGACATAAGAAACTTGTCAGTGACAGGGAGATAGAAAAGAGCTACTCTGTGCCATATCACGAGGAGGCAGAACAAGGGCAAAGCAGATGACATTATGGCACCTGAAAGACCAAAAACTGATGTCGTCGTCCTTTTTCAATCTGTTGCCCTTAACGATATCGTTCGACCCGCAAGTCAAAGCGTAATTCAAGGTTCCTCCTCCTGAATTTTTCTTCATATCCCATCTCGTCAGCATCAAACCCACCTTAACATTCCGCTGATCCACTAGAATCGCTCCAATTCCCTTCTTCTTGACTACTTTCTTGCCATCTTCGTTCATGTCATCTTCTTGCGCTATGGTTTAAAACTCCACAGGCCTCAAGAAGTCGTTACGGATAAGGCTTTTGAAAGGCATTAAGAGACGGCTCTGGTCAGGTCTAATATTTGTTTTCGTCAGTTTCTTCTCGAATATGAGCCTCGGGCCTTCGGTTTCGTATCCTTTGGGCCCTTTCATGTGATTCATCATCTCTGTTAGGCACTCCGGAGTTGCTATCTCTTTCCACGAGAAAGGAGCAACCTTTGCTTTCTTGGCTTTACCACCACTACGCTTTCGCGGCGCGTTTCTTGCAAGAAGTTTCTCCTATTGGTCTCTTCTTCTTTTTCTTCATCTTCTTCTTCATCCTCTTTTTCTTTTTCTTTTTCTTCATCTTCGTCTTCTTCGTCATCCTCATGGTCGTCGTCTTCTTTTTCTTCGTCATCTTCGTCTTCGTCTTCATCTTCTTCTTCTTCATCAGAGAGAGTCTTCGTGTTGTGCTTGGATTTTCCTTTAAGTTTGATTTCTTCGTATAACCTAGCCTGGGCAATGGCATCGACCATATTACAAATATCTCTCGAGCTTATTATGTCCCCCTCCACGGTGGCATGATGATACTCGTTAATCATGTAACATTAATAAGGGTGTCGTGGGTTAGATTCAACGGAAACCGACGAAGAAGTAGAAGCCACAATAAGATTTTGATGGCTTTGTTGTTCAGTGTTTCTTCTAGTAACAACCGAGCCTCTTCTTTTCCTCGAGAAGACATGGAAGAATCTCTTGTCGCTCTCTTCTTCTTCTTCAGAGAAAATCCTCGTGTTGAATTTGGATTTTGCTTTCTCTTGAAGAAGAATACTACGTTGTTCTTCTTCGTATAACATAACTGTGGTATCCATCCACCAAGTTACAGAAATTCCTTGAGCTTATGTCCTTCTCCGCAGCTGCGAGATGATCATCGTAATACTTAGCCATTGTTACATATGCTTTCTTGGCTTTACCACCACTACGCTTTCTCTCTTGCACAGCACGTCTCTTGCGGCTTGTCTTCTCCGTTTTGCACGGAGACGGAGACGGTTTGGAGTTAGGGCTTGGTAGGGTTTTCGTTGTCTCCTTCTTTTCAACGAATAAGAATTAAAGAAGTATACCTTCTTCTTCTTATCCTATTCTGGATTTAGAGTTTTACTCTGTATTTAATGAGAATGAAGAGTAAAACTGTAAACCCAGAATAGGATTTTTTTATGTTCGAATTTTCCTTTTTTTTGGGTTGTGTTTCGTTTTCTTAATACAGAGGAGTTATGTACGTAAACCCCCCCTCCCAACCACGGAAGTCGATGGTTTGGTGGAGTTTTACGGTTGAAACCTCCGATGTAGCATATGATTAATTGGTAAGTTTTGGTTA